CGAGAGAGAAACAGGCGCAGAGAGAGGGGCATGCGCAGAGAGAGAGGGGCATGCGCAGAGAAAGAGAGGCAGGCGCAGAGAAAGACAGCGCGAGCGAGAACGGGGCGCAGGGTGCAGGGAGAGGTAGTGATGGAGAGACCCCGAGTGTATACTAGTTTGTCTTTGGTGTCAGTACTGACGCAGTTTTCAGTTTAATACACACCGACTGGTATACCTCACTCTTAAATATACATACACGTTATATATACACACAGAAAATTATAGGGTTATTCCCCCAGAACGTCAGAATCATCACACTAATCTACTCGTTTTACCTTTCTTTAAAATATAAAAACTAAAATGGTAAGTGGAGCCTGCTATTAAACATTATATGGCTGAGGCTTTGCAAGCTGAAGCAGGAGCCTGTTGTGTAAACTCTGCAACATTAAGACTGAAAACACCGACAATGCTACACTAAAGCTCCTGCTAATGCCAGGTCTCCCCCATGGTGTTGCTCTCCTTCAGCGAGGCATGTTTTTCTCCCCCTTCCCCCAAGTTTATGGGGATGGATTTGTCCGCCTTACTGCCCCGTCTCTCAGCGCTTGTCCCCTTCTCTCTCTCCCCACGTCCCACTACTTGTGGTAACAGCCGTCCAGGCCCAGGGTGGCAGCTCCAAAGCTGGACACAGGCTCACAGCTCACAGCCTTGGCCAGGATGCTGCAGTTCTTGATGAGGTTCAGGCTGAACGAGCTGACACCGTCCTTAGCTGGGAAAAGCTTCATGGTGGCCAGGATGAGGGCCAGGCAGTCCGCGACGTCCTTGTTGGGGGCACAGGCCAGGGCGGGCGTGTGACCTGCAGAGACCGGGATGTTAAGATGCTGTGTGTCAGCGAACACGCCAACACCTTCCCGGCAAACCCCTCTCAATACCCCCCCCAACCTCCTGCAGAGAAACGACTGAAACGGCTGTGAACCCGCACCTCACACCGGGCTGGGAAATCTCTACAGGCACCAGCGCTATGCACAAAAAAGGGAGAGCCAGTTCGCACCAAGCCCGCTTCCCACCCAACAGATGCTTTCCACATGGAGGGCCACTTCTGTTCACATTGCACAATCCTCAGTGCTGTGCTGACTGGGAACTAAGCAATCAGATCAGACTGGGAGCAACGTGGGAGAGCGAGTGTGCATGTGCGCGCGCACACGACGGGGAGACACACAGCGTGCACGAGAGGGAGAGATCGTGTGCACGAGAGGGACCACACGTACGACAGAGAGACAGACAGCACGCACGAGAGAGAGAGAGTGAGAGACAGCATGCACGTGCGCATGATAGAGAGAGAGAGAGAGAGACAGACACACAGGGTGCACATGTGCGCTTTAGAGACAGAGAGACAGACACATAGGGTGCACACGTGTGTTAGACAGAGACACACACAGGGTGCATGCGTTAGAGAGAGACACACAAGGTGCACGTGCGCAATTTAGAGGACAGACAGACACACAAGGTGCATGGCGCACGACAGAGAGAGACACAGT